CTTTCCCTAACGGGAGGGACGCAGCGCCGCGGGGCCGAGGCTTACGGGGTGAAGGGCGGCGGGGTGGAGCTGAGGGGCAGGAGGCGGGAGCGGGCGGCCGAGCGGAGTTCGCGTCGGGGCCGGGCCCTGGGCCTGGCAGGGAGGGGCCGAGAGGCCGTGGAGAAAGCATCTCCGGGGTGGGTTGGACTGGGGAGGGCTGAGGGCCTGAGAAGGCGTGGTGTTAGGTCCAGGCTTGGGAGCGGGGTGGGGCCATAAGGGCGGAGGGCGGGGTGGGGTTTGGCCGTCAGGGTGGGTCAAGGCCGGGAAAGTAGCACTTGTTCGCTGCTGCCCAGAGGCTAGAAGTCGAGGCGCCAGGAGCGGCATGGCGACTTGGTCCCAGCCGGACTCGGGTATCCGGGGCAGGGTGGGACCGGGCTCAGGCCTGGCCTTACTCGATCTTTAAGGGACCTTGTCCGGTTTCTCGAACTTAATTGGCTCTTGGGAGGTTTTTAGTAGTAAATTACGTGAGAACTGGAGGGAAGTGTAAGCAGGAATTCTGGGTCGCAATTATGTTTACTCCAACCAGATAAGGGCGTGTGTGTGTGTGTGTATCCATCTTTAACAATAGAATGAAGTTCGTAGATGGGTCACAGCAGTGAACAGGAGAGAGCTACGTCGTGGTTTATGAGGTTAATGGAAGCTCAGAAGTAGAGACTAGAAAGTGAAAGGCAGCTTTACTCCCTCCCCACTTGTTCCCTTTAGGATGAAGTTCGTAGATGGGTCACAGCAGTGAACAGGAGAGAGCTACGTCGTGGTTTATGAGGTTAATGGAAGCTCAGAAGTAGAGACTAGAAAGTGAAAGGCAGCTTTACTCCCTCCCCACTTGGCTATCTGGGTTGAAGACTTGGCCATATCCTTCTGCTTTGGATCAGAAGGTCACGTGAATGAAAATAAAACCTGCCTATTCAAATTCTGGACCTAATAATCCTGCCTCAGGGCCCCCCATCTCGTCAGTACCCCCATTTTTTTAAATATGAGAGTGATAGGAAAGGGAAATCAGATTTTAAAGTTGGAAAAAGAAAAGGCATTATTCTTTTCTATGATATGGTGGTTGTCTTGTCCTTTTACTCTCTCACCCATTAGTAATCTCTCCCTCTCTTTTAGAACTTGAAGGCACAAGAATTGTAGGCAGTTTTCTACTGAGAGAGGAGAAACAAACTTTCCTTTAAGATAGGAAATGGACTTCTCACGCTAAAAATAGAAGCTGGGTAGTGTGTATGGGGTGGGGGGAGGGTTGGTAAATCAGACAACGTGTAGAATATTTTGGATGCCCTGGGCATTATCTGCTTATCCAAAATGAGCTACCTTTTAGGGTACTGCAGAATTAATATCCAGAAACTGAGATCCCTTGTGAGCAATACCTTCCTCTCATAGTTGTTCTGTCTGTAACAGGTTTTCATGTTTTGTTTTTCTTGGAGTATAATAACTGATTTATTTTTAAATAAAAAATAAAAGTGGCCTTCTAATGTGTTTCCTACCTCTGCCTTGGTCATGGCGTGAAAATTATGGAATCTTATCCTGTTGCTTTTGTGATTCCCATTTCAGGTTTCTTTGGAAACCCCCCTGGTAAGTGTGGAGGAGGCGGGACACTCTGACCCAAGACAAAAGGCCTGTAGCTCCAGCCAAAGGAAATAAACCTTAGGAGAAGGAAAAAAAATATCCATCAGCTGTTCCCGAGAACAACCTGCAGTGAAATTTACAGAGAGGACAACTAATGTGAGCGAGGAAGTGACTGTATGTGGACTGTGGAGACAGTAAGTCACGTGGGCCCTGAGGGCCTGGACTGGGTTAGGAAACAGTTGTACTTTCAGAGGTGAGGTGTCAAGAAGGGAAAAGTGAATGTGGTCTGGAGTGTGGCCTTGGCTCCAAGGGGTGTGCTTTCCTCTGAGGCTGTTAAGAAGCTCAGCCCCTGTGTTCTGCCAGGGTGGGGTACAGGGTTTGGCACTGAGGAGGGTAACTTGCTGGCTGGAGCAGCAGAGCAGTGGCCTTGATTTGTCTTTTGGAAGATTTAAAAACCAAAAAGCATAAACATTCTGGTCCTTCAGCAATGCTTTCTCTGAAGAAATACTTAACGGAAGGACTCCTCCAGTTCACCATTCTGCTGAGTTTGATCGGGGTGCGGGTGGACGTGGATACTTACCTGACCTCGCAGCTCCCCCCACTCCGGGAGATCATCCTGGGGCCCAGTTCTGCCTATACTCAGACCCAGTTCCACAACCTGAGGAATACCTTGGATGGCTATGGTATCCACCCCAAGAGCATAGACCTGGACAATTACTTCACTGCCCGGCGGCTCCTCAGTCAGGTGAGGGCCCTGGACAGGTTCCAGGTGCCAACCACTGAGGTTAACGCCTGGCTGGTCCACCGGGATCCGGAGGGGTCTGTCTCTGGCAGCCAGCCCAGCTCGGGCCTCACCCTCGAGAGTTCCAGTGGTCTCCAAGATGTGACAGGCCCAGACAACGGGGTGCGAGAAAGCGAAACGGAGCAGGGATTCAGTGAAGATTTGGAGGATTTGGGGGCTGTAGCCCCTCCAGTCAGTGGAGACTTAACCAAAGAGGTTAGTGGCGACATGGTGGGGAGGGTGGGAAGGGTCTGGGGTTGCGGGGGTGGGCTGGTCCTGAAGGAGTGTAGTAATAGTAGTAAGCCCTGTAAAGAACCAGAGAGGTTCCGGGGGGTCTCAGGCATTGTTCTGGGATAGGAGTGGGCTAGATTGTCTGACTAAGATTGGGGGTTGGGAGCATTTCCTTGTGTTGAACCATTGACCCACCTCTAAATGAACTGTCAGGGCAGTGGGAGGTCCTTAGAACATGCCTGTGTGTTTACTGCTTGGATTTCAACATGACTCCTGGAGGCCCGGGGTGGGGGAGGGAGTCATGTTATGATGGGCTTTAATGTGGTGTATGTTCGTTGCTAAGACACATATTTTGTGGACTGTTGCCTTGTACCTCTCCCCACATCAAAACACACATACGTATTCTGAAGTTCTCCTTTGTGGTCAGGCCTGTTGTGGTGGTAAGGTCCTGATAAGTCGCCTCTCCTGGGTCTGAGCCAAGGGGTAGATTTAGATAGTTATTCTTGGCCAGGAGAGGGCCAAGGCTCCCATTCTTTGCTAAAGGCCCACTGCAGTGAGTAGGGACAGGAGGGATGGATGGGAACTAGAAGAGAAACTGCATTCTGCTGCTGAAGGCAGCTTGCTTTGAGCTGTCAGAGGTCTGAACTGACGAGTGGCTGACACACTGTTCTGGGCAGAAGGTGATGCAGTCGCCTTTAACCATGTTAAATGGTTTCTGCTGCCCCTCCCCCACCAATGTGATAAGACTGCTTTGAGCTCTGCGTTTGGACCTGTCTTGCCACTCAGTCTTAAGGAGCTTGGGAAAAGATCCAGTTCAGTCGCTGGCCATTAGGGAAGGAGGAGGCTGGATTGCACTGGGCTGGGTTTTCCAGAGCTGAGTCTTGCGGTGGGGGTGCATGGGGGGAGTGTTTGGGAAGAGGGGGTGTGGAGGTGTGTTAAAAGTTTTACAGGTGCTGTAGAACTTGGCTATTTCTGCATACCAGTCAGACCAGGTTTTGCCTACCATCCCGCGTTGAAGCCTGTTCCTGAGCTCGGTTCTCTGAATGTTAGTGACTGTCAAATCATGTGGCTTTCTCTGGGCCAGTGGTCCTCAATTGGGGATGATTTTGTCCATCAGGGAACATGTGGCAGCGTCTAGAGACAGCTTTGGTTGTCACAACTGGAGAAGGTGCTATTGGCATCTAGTGGAGAGAGGCATGGGATGCTGCCGAACTTCCTAAAAAGCATAGGACAGCCCCTAAATAACAGATTGATCTGGCCCCAGATGTCAGTAGTGCCAGGGTTGCTCTGTGCTTAGCTGGCTCATATTGGCTCTACTTTGAGAGAGACTAGAATTACCCAAGTATGGGAGTCATGAGCACTCCTTGCCTTGCAGTGCCTCTTTTCTGAGATTCTTACAGTGCCACCTTTCTTCTGCTTCCTCTGTTACTTACCTTCAACTGGACTCCAGTCTTGGCACAGTGGTCTGAAGAAGTATGCCTCCCAGCCTCCTCTTCCATCATCCCACCCACGGTAGCTCCTCAAGGGGTAGATGTAATTGGGCTTGGGGACCCTGCTGCTGGTAACCCAGCAGGCATAGCTTCATTCCTCCTACTGCAGGGGTCTCTCCTGGGATGGGGTGGGATGGGATGTTTTCAATGTAGTTGGATGGGTTGGGGTGGAATGGGATGGGACTTTGACCCTGCTTGCCTCCATTTCTTGATCTTCATGAAGTTTGTGGTTTCCCTGACTCCAGGCTTTCACTGCTCCCTTTGGAGATTGGGGGTGGGTTAGCATTAGGGGCCCAGGCTGCGTATGGGGGAAGGGAGGATTTTTGTGTGTCTAGAACATTATTTCCTCAGCAACTCAGGGATAAAAATACCCAGGTCCAGAGCATGTGACAGGCACTGCTGGAGCTGGTATTATCCCTGGGTGGCAGCACTCCCCTGCTGCCAGGCCTATTCGATGGACAGCTATAGCCCAGGCCCTTGTCAGGGATAGGATTCCCCACGAGGTTGGCACTCTGCCCAGAGAGGGGGGTGGCCTGTGTACAGCTCTTTGCAGGCGAGGAGGAGCACTCTGCGACCAAGGGGAACATACTGTCCCTGACCTGACCTTAGGCTCAAGGGGAGCAGCAGTGAGGATGGGAGCCAGAACTGTGACCCTGATTCTGTCAGGGGCATTCTTCCTGCTTTAGAGATGTAAGCCAGGGCTCAGGCAGAGATGGCTCTTGAACAAAGCCTGGGGTAAAAAGAAAGTGGGGGGCGGGGGGGACATGTTTGTGTCCAGGACGTTGCGGAGCACCTGTCTCCTTCAGTGCTGGCGTTCAGGCTCCTGTCTCCCTCCTCTTGCCTGGGGCTAGGCCTGGCCAGCACTGTGACATCCCTGCATTTGTGCAGATGGATTTCCCCCTTCCTCTTGTCTAGCTTGTTGTAGGGTGACAAAGCCCCTGGTTCCCAGTGGATCTGGGTGCACTGGGTTCCTGCCCAGGCTGGCTTTTTGAGCCTTGGGCTTGAGGACGACTGGCCACAGCCCTCCTGAGGAACGGGAAAACTCCTTACACTTCCAGGGAAGAACTTAGATTCCCGGAGAAGCTGTGGGAGGAGTGTCTGCCCAGTCCTGAGTCCCAGTCCTGAGTGGGCTGGGTAAGCAGGATGCGACAGGAGGGAGAGTGGCACCCCTTCCCCCCAGGGCGCTCTCACTGCGCCACCCCGGCTGGCTGACTGGGCTGGGTGGGGCTGCCCGCCCCTGGGTGCGTCTCCTTGAGGAGACGGAGGCGGCAGGGGATGGGCTGGTTCCTTGCGGCAGCTTCTCCAGCTGCCCTGGTGCAGAGATTGGCTCCCGGCTGCAGCTAGGTAACAGGCGGTGGGAGGGGATTGGCTCCTTCCGCATCTCCAGCGGAGACTTGGGGGAGGAGATTGGCTCTCGTCGCAGCCTAGGTAACGACAGTGGGAGGGGATTGGCTCTTTCCGCAGCCCAGCTGCTGACCTGGGGGAGGGGATTGGCTCTCTGCAGCCTCAGCAGTGACCTGCGGGGTGGGAGGGGGAGGGGATTGGCTCCTTGCTGCAGCCTAGGTAACAAGTTTGGGGGGCGTGGGGAGGGGGAGAGAGGGAGGAGCGGGAGGATAGGCCCAGGAGGGAGCTTGCTTTCCTCTGCAGCTTGAGCACGGAGCATGGGGTGGGAGTCCCATCTCACTGCAGCCTCTGCGGTGAGCTCAGGGTGGGGGCCGCCGGGCGCCTGAGTGGAACTGGGGTTGTGAGGTGGGAGGGGGCTGCTCCAGGATGGAGGAAGGGGGCTGGGCTGGGCCGCCCAGGCAGCAGCACGGGCGTGGCACCCTCCTTGGGCCCCTCGGAGCTAGCAAGGGGCCACCCTTCCAGCCTGGTGTGCTCCCTGCGAGCCAAGAGCTCCTTGGAGCCCCCTGTCCGGCTGCCCAGCACCAGCTGCCCTGGGGCTCATCTCGCACACCATGACCCGCCTGGACCGCAGCTCTCACAGTGGTGGGGGCCATGCCAAAGGGAGCCGGCCCCTTAACTCTTTGGTGGCTGGTCACCGGGTGGCCCAGCCCCCCTCTGCTCCTGGGTCCAGGGCTTCTGTTCAGGTTGGTATATGTGGGGAGACTGCAGGGAGAGGTACACCTGGGAGGTCTTAGGATCAGGGAGGCTTACTGTGGGAGAGGGATACCTGGTCAGAGCTAGGGAGGTGGGTCTAAGCTAAGGATACTGCTTTCTGGAAAGTATCTGCCTTTTAATCTCTGACTGGAAGGCAACAGTTTAGGGTTTCTTTAACTGCAGGGGGTGGCATGTATAGGAAACCCGAACGTCTCATATTTATTGGGGTTGTACGCTGGTGGCATTGGGGGTGGCAGGTGGAGCCGGAACTAATCAGGAGCTGCCAGCGTAGAGTGAGAGGGAGGCATTTTGGTGCCCGGGGCGGCAGTTGTGGCTGGGCAGTGATGGGGGCTATGTCCTTGAGTGGGTTGCCTGATGGGATGCCTGGGGTGTGGTAAGGGAGTGAGAGCACTGGTTTGTGGGGACACCGTGGGGCTGGCCTTGGCAGGGGTGGGGTGTCCAGTGAGGATCATCTGACTGCCTGAGGCTCTCCGGGGATTGAGGCAGCTTGCTGGGATCAGCTGAGAGTGGGCATTCTATTCTGGCAGGGATGGATCTTGAGGTGAGCCTGGACTGAGAATTGTGGGTGTTCAGCCTTACTCCTGCCTCATCCAGGGAAGGGGGAACGGCTGTAGGAAGGGCTGGATAGCCTGTCGTTGTCATTGGTTGCATCAGGTGGTTGCAAATGCAGGGATTTTCCTCTCCAGTCCACCCCACCCCTTTATGCAAATGAAATGGCACCACAGGCTGATGCAAGCCTGGCCACTGCGAAGCAGCTTTGCTTGACGGTTCACTCTTGCTTGCCGTGGCCAGCTTTCTACAAACCAAGTTTTAAGGGATTCCCATTCCCGAAATGAGAAGTGTCTCCTGCTTCCCCCTTTCTTCTTAAGTAGTGGTAAGATGGCCCTGCCTTTTGGCCTGGCTGTGCCTCTGGTCCAGATCCTAAGCCTGCAGACCGGTATGGTGATGGTTGTGCTAGTGGTTTTCGCTAGCTCTTTTTTTTTTTTTTTTTTTTTTCCCTGAGGGGTTTAGCTTAAATATCTTTTCCTTAAAGCATACCTCTCTAACTATTTACCCAAAGTAGTTCTAGCCAATATTAATCTCTATTTTTCCTGTTTAGAAATCTTTATAATTTGTATTTTTAACTGCGTACATGTTTTCTTTTTTTTTTTTTTTTTTTTTTGGAGGCTGGTGTCTGGAAATGGATGGATGAAGCTGGTACAGAGGGGACAGGGGGTAGAGTCTGGCAGGCGTAGATTGGGAGGGGCCCCACCCGGGAGTAGTTGGGGTGATGCTAGCAGAAACCTCTGAGAGGCAGGACAGGGAGGGGCCCCTGGACCCCAGAGCTAAAGTCATGATGCTCTGTCTTTCAGGACATAGATCTGATTGACATCCTTTGGCGACAGGATATTGACCTGGGGGCTGGGCGTGAGATTTTTGACTACAGTCATCGCCAGAAGGAGCAGGATGTGGATAAGGAACTGCGAGATGGAGCAGAGCAGGAGGACACCTGGCCAGGCGAGGGTGCAGAAGCTCTGGCACGAAATCTGCTAGTGGATGGAGAGACTGGGGAGAGCTTCCCTGCACAGGTACTCCTGCCTCTGCCCACTTCTAGAAACTTCTCTTTAGAGAAGGCAGGTTGTGTCTGTGGGATGGGCCTGAATGTATATCTTGGGTTGGGGTCTCTTAAGTCACAGTGGTGGCTGAGGAAGCGGGAGTAGAACAGCAGCAGCAGCGGAGGGGCCGCGCCTTGGTAACGAACAGCACATGGGAGGCAGAGCACCTAGCGGCTTTCTGCTTGCGTCAGAACCCCCCACTCTCTTCTCCCCTGGAGTTTGGGACTCAGGGCCAGCCGACAGCCTGGGAACGGAGGGAGAGTGTAGGCCTGCAACCATGCAGGGCCTCCTTTAAGCTTCCCCTTGGAAAGGCTGGGGAAGGGGCTTCGGCCCACAGGCAGCCAAGGCCCGGGTCAGTCAGACTTAACAGTTGCTGTTGCCACAGGTGCCTGGTGGGGAGGACCAGACAGCCCTGTCCCTGGAAGAGTGCCTTAGGCTGCTGGAGGCCACCTGCCCCTTTGGGGAGAATGCTGAGGTGAGCAGGACTCCAGGGAGAGCCCACTGAGTCAGCAGGGCAGCCTGCACACAGTGTGTCTCTCTGTGGCTGCTTGAGGGGCCGGCTTTTGGTGTTGGCCTTGTCCTGGCTGCTGGGGGTGAATTCAGAGGAAGGAAGAAACAACCTCAGGTGGTAGTCTCGGGGAGGAAAGCAGAAGGTGGTCTTTCCTCCTCCCCTGTTAAACCCTCTGTGTTTTGCCCTAGTTTCCAGCAGACATTTCCAGCATAACAGAAGCAGTGCCTAGTGAGAGTGAGCCCCCAGGTCTTCAAAACAATCTTTTGTCTCCTCTCCTGACGGGGACAGAGTCTCCATTTGATTTGGAACAGCAGTGGCAAGATCTCATGTCCATCATGGAAATGCAGGTAGGATTATCAGAACCAGGCACAAACCTCTCGGACTTTGTGTGGGGTGTCTTCATACTCAGTTGCTTTTCCACTTCTGGGAAAAGAGAGAGTAACACCTTTCTGATCCATAGGAAAGTGGGGACACTGAGAGGTAACTGTCCACGTGTCAGTAGGTGGTGGAGTCAGGATTGGGGTTTGGGTTAAAGCCCCGGGGCTGAGGCTTCTAAAGCAGGCCTGCCTCCTAGGTGCGCCTCCTTCTTTTCCTTCAGGCAGATTATCACTGGGCTGGGTGTTTCCTAGGTTTAGCATTAATAAAAGCTGACATTATTGTAGTGCTTTACAGCCATTGTCATCTCACTTGGCCCTCGGGATCATCTAGTTAGCCCTTTATTATTTTAAACGTGAGGACACTGAACCTCAAAGAGAGACTGAGTGAAATGCTCCTGGTCTTACAGCAAGTGGTGCAGCTAGGCTTTCTTACTCCAAGGCGGGGTGTACTTTTCACTGTGCTGATTCTGCAGTGTTAGGTGGTTTTTTCCTCTCCTCCATGGCGGGGGAGTCTGGGCCTGGAGCTGATCAGTCCCGCCTTGGGGTGGAGTCCACAGGGAGGAACCCGTCTCTGCCAGGCATGATGGATCAAGCGGGGCCAGGAGCTGATGCTGTGGGCTGTGGTTTCCTGTCTCTTGCCTTTACACCCATGCAGCTGTGCCTATGTTGGGTGCCTGCTATCTGTGAGCCCCCAGCACACCTGGGGATGGAGTCTGCGCTAAGTGAACGGTGATGCTCTTCTCCCCTCCCAGGCCATGGAAGTGAACACATCAACAAGTGAAATCCTGTACGATGCCCCTCCAGGAGACCCACTGAGCACCAACTACAGCCTTGCCCCCAACACTCCCATCAATCAGAATGTCAGCCTGCATCAGGCATCCCTGGGGGGCTGCAGCCAGGACTTCTCACTCTTCAGCCCGGAGGTGGAGAGCCTGCCTGTGGCCGGCAGCTCCACGCTGCTCCCGCTGGTCCCCAGCAATTCCACCAGCCTCAACTCCACCTTTGGTTCCACCAACCTGGCAGGGCTCTTCTTTCCACCCCAGCTGAATGGCACAGCCAATGACACAGCAGGCCCTGAGCTGCCTGACCCACTCGGGGGTCTGTTGGATGAAGCCATGCTAGATGAGATCAGCCTGATGGACCTGGCCATTGAAGAAGGCTTTAACCCCGTGCAGGCCTCCCAGCTCGAAGAGGAATTTGACTCTGACTCAGGCCTCTCCTTGGACTCCAGCCATAGCCCTTCCTCCCTGAGCAGCTCTGAAGGTAGTTCTTCCTCCTCCTCGTCCTCCTCCTCCTCTTCTTCCTCTTCCTCTTCCTCTACTTCTTCCACAGCCTCTTCCTCCTTTTCTGAGGAAGGTGCAGTTGGCTACAGTTCTGACTCTGAGACCTTGGATCTGGAAGAGGCTGAGGGCGCTGTGGGCTACCAGCCCGAGTATTCCAAGTTCTGCCGCATGAGCTACCAGGACCCAGCTCAGCTCTCCTGCCTGCCCTATTTGGAGCATGTGGGCCACAACCACACATACAACATGGCACCCAGTGCCCTCGACTCTGCTGACCTGCCACCACCCAGCACCCTCAAGAAGGGCAGCAAGGAGAAGCAGGCCGACTTCCTGGACAAACAGATGAGCCGGGATGAGCATCGAGCCCGAGCCATGAAGATCCCCTTCACCAACGACAAGATCATCAACCTGCCTGTGGAGGAGTTCAATGAGCTGCTGTCCAAGTACCAGCTGAGTGAAGCCCAGCTGAGCCTCATCCGTGACATCCGGCGCCGTGGCAAGAACAAGATGGCGGCGCAGAACTGCCGCAAGCGCAAGCTGGACACCATCCTGAACCTGGAGCGGGATGTGGAGGACCTGCAGCGCGATAAAGCCCGGCTGCTGCGGGAGAAGGTGGAGTTCCTCCGGTCCCTGCGGCAGATGAAGCAGAAGGTCCAGAGCTTGTACCAGGAAGTGTTTGGGCGGCTGCGGGATGAGAACGGGCGGCCCTACTCGCCCAGTCAGTATGCGCTGCAGTATGCCGGGGATGGCAGCGTCCTCCTCATTCCCCGCACCTTGGCTGACCAGCAGGCCCGGCGGCAGGAGAGGAAGCCGAAGGACCGGAGAAAGTGAGCCTGGGGAGGAAGGGGGTTGACGCTCACCGAGATGGAAACTGGAGAAGGGCTGGGCCTGGACCTGGACCTACAGTGGGGACTTTAATGCCTTCTTATCCAATAGATCTCAGATGGGATGACTGCGGGTCAGTGGACAGGAAGAGGCAGGCGCAGGCGCTGTCTGGCTCAGCTTCCCCCACTGAGGGGGGTGGAGGTGGCCAGACCGTTTGGGTGGACAGGGTCCTCACCCCTACCCCTTTCCTTTGAGGGAAGGGTGGTGCTGGCATTGCTGGAGGCCGAAAAAGGGAAAGTAAGGGACTTGTGAGAGGAGAGGAAAGTAGTAGAAAGTCTCATTCCTGGAAGGAAGGAAGGAAGGAAAACAGAAAACCCAGAAAAATCAAAGCGGGAAGAAAATCAGAGGGCAGGTTAAGTTGGCTGTGGCCAGGATTCCAGGCAGCAGGTTTTAGAGGGGACTAGATTACTGGTGTGAGTAAACCCCACTTCAACCTAGGGGAGCGATGGAACACGGAGTCGGTTCTGAGAGGGGCCTGTGAACTCTTTCTGCTCCTGCCCTCTGGCATCCCTGACGGGGAGCTCTCAGATGATCTCTCCTGTGAGGTTTCCAGCAGAGGGGAGCCCCTGGGACCCGACACTGGCTTGGAGGGTTAGGATCAAAGGGTAGAGTCAACAGGCAGGGGTCGTGAGGCCTCATGCTGCAGCAGCCCCAACACCAAGCATGTCACTCAATGCCCTGCCATACATCTTCCTCTGTGCCCAGTCACCCCTGAGCTGAGGCTCCCACGTCTCCATCAGAGCCTGCATGCGAATGCTGTTCTCTTCCCACCCGTGTGCCCCCGCCCCTCACCAGCTGCCTGGAGCTCTTCTGGAGCTGGGGTGCTGGCAGTGCCCACAGGGCTGGGCCTGCAGCCTCCTGGGAGCTGCTCTGAGGCAGGGAGATGATGTGGAGAAGCCAGGCAGTATTCAGCACAACACTGGGGAGTGACCCTTCCCTCAGGCCTCCCCTACCAACAACTGGGCTTTGTCACTGGAAAGACAAAAAACTACAAAACCCAGCAGCAACAACAAAAACTAGTCCTCTTAGAGTTTCTTGTGCTTTGATTTTTTTAGGGCTTGAGCCCTGTTTCACTTATAGGGTCTAGAATGCTTGTGTTGAGTAAAAAGGAGATACCAATATTCAAAGCTGCTAAATGTTCTCTTTGCCATAAAGACTCCGTGTAACCGTGTGAACACTTGGGATTTTTCTCCTCTGTCCCGAGGTCTTTGTCTTTCTTTTTTGGGTTTCTTTCTAGGAGAATGAGAAGTGCATGTAATGGGGGCTGAGGGTACCCCTCCCTCAGGCTCTTGGCCACAGGCAGCTTCTCCACACCCCCAGTTTAGCAAGGGCTCCTGGAGGACCGCCTGGGGGAGGCAGAGAGGGGAGCGCCAAGGTGGCCAGGTGGTTCCAGGACCACAGTGTCTCTGTTTCCACTGCTGTCCCCACCTTGGCCTGGGTCTGGAGCATTGTCTGCCCCAGGCTAGCAGGAATGAGTTGAAGGGGGGAAGAGCACTGATTCTCTCCTCCCCGCCTAGGTGGGGAGGCATTCTAACTGAGCAGTAGGGATAGAAGGCACGAGCCTGGGAAGTGCTTTTATAAATTATTTTCCTTGTAGATTTTATTTTTAATTTATCTCTGTGACCTGCCAGGGAGAGGAGAGAGAGATGCTGTGAGCACATGACAAAATAAAATAAAATAAAATGGATGATTTATTCTCAAGTGCAATTTTTCCCTATTTTGAATTTAAATTGAGAGTAAAGGAAACAGGCCCCATGAGGAGAGGACTGGCCATTGTGTGGCTAAGGCAGAGCTCTTAGGGGAAAGTGGGTGGAGAGCAGAGGAGGTTGCCAATGAAGAATTTAGAAAGACAGAAGTCTTAAATACTGTATTAAAGCTTCCAAACAGGTGTTATGTACCTTTTTGTAGGGTTTGCCAGCTGAATCCTTTTAGAGGAAGGATTCAGAATCCTTTTTGGCCTTTCTCGTAGGGCTAGGCTAGGTGGGTGTTGTCACCTGGCCCAGCTCCTTATCTGTCTTCCTGTGGCAAACTGCATTTTTAATATTGATTGTGCTGTTGTTTCTCTGGTGGCCCCACCTACCAAGGGGGTGCAGAGCTTTGGAGCGTAGTCACAGTGATGACAGTGATGGCAGAAACCCGAGAGAGCTACAGGACCAGCACATGCCAAGCACTTCACTATAACAGCAGGGCCACGGAACCAGAGAACAGAAAGCTAGACCCCAGGGCTTAAGGCATTTGAAAGCTCTCCAGCTGAGGTGACCAGAATCTGTTCTCCCTCAAAATAATACAAAAAGCCTGCAAAGAGTTGAATGCTTTAAGGTACTGGATGGTTGCTGGAACAGCCACGTGCTTATCTAGGGGTAGGTACTTAACAAATGTCCAAGTAATGAATGCCCACCTGGCAGTCTCTGTGAGATTACCAGATGAAGTTTAGGACTGGAAGCTGTGATCCTCCTCATGAAACCTGTGATCTTGAACTCCCCATGTACCACTGTATGACCTGGCTTAGACCAGTCCTTTAATGATGCTATTAGAGTTTATCCTATGGGGTGAATAGAATTCTGGGAATAACACCGAGTTCTTTTTTGTTTCAATTTACAATGGCTTTTGCCCCCCATCTAGTTGGAACGGGTTGGTCCTATCAAACAAGAGCTCTTTCCTAATTAGTAAAACTTATGACTGTAAGCCAAGTAAAACGAAGATTCTTAAAAAAAAAAAGGCTAAAAATTCAGTCAGAAAAACTAATTTATGCTGATAAAAAATACAAGTTACATACAGAAAACTGTGACAAGTAAAATTCAGAGTAATGTTTTTGTATACTTTCTAGAAATGTGTATATGTATTTTTGTTTAGTACACAATTAGGCTATAACTTTTATCTTGTTTTGCAACTTTTCAAACAGATTTTAAAGATTTTAAGAAAAAGTCCTCTCACCTCCCCCTTTGCTAGTGTTGCCTCTGGTCTGAGAAAGTGTGTTTTGGTCACCCCCTTCCCCCATGTCCCCTTATGGAGAGATGCACAGTTGTGTCTGGGAGCTTGCTGATTAGCTGGGGCTTTGGGCCAAGTTGGTCAGCACTGCTGTGGGGCTGACCTCTTTTTGCTGTTGGCAGGTGGAGTGGGTGTTCCAGCTTCAAGGCTTTTTCTGGCAGGAAGAAGATACGAGACCTCAAGTAAGGACTGTGAAGGCTGCTACACCTGAGACAGGAAGTGAGACGAGGTCCTAGATTTCGCAGGGAGATGAGCAGACCTCAGGACCAAACTTCTGGGTGACGTGCTTGGGTAGGGGTCGAAGGCTTGCTTTGTCTTGACTTTAGTCCTAGGCATCATTCAAACTGATTTCCCCACACATTTTAAATCATGTAAGGCGACGGAAATAGATCCATTGTGTTTGGGTTTTTTTTTGCGGTACACGGGCCTCTCACTATTGCGGCCTCTCCCGTTGCGAAGCACAGGCTCTGGATGTGCAGGCCCAGCGGCCATGGCTCACGGGCCCAGCCGCTCCGTGGCATGTGGGATCTTCCCGGACCGGGGCACGAACCCATGTCCCCTGCATCGGCAGGCGGACTCCCAACCACTGCGCCACCAGGGAAGCCCCACTGTGGTTTTTTTTTTAAGGCTGTACCACATGGCCTGTGGGATCTTAGTTCCCTGACCAGGGATCAAACCCATGCCCCCTGCAGTGGAAGCAGAGTCCTAACCACTGGACCGCCAACGAAGTCCCAGATCCACTGTTTCAATCTCTGCCCCACATACGATCTCACCAGTGAAGCCAGGGCTATTTCAGAATCAACAAAAATAGAAAAAATATAGAACTGAGGGAGAACAGAGATCTACAGACATGCTCAGTGTCGTCAAGACCTGGCCTCCACAGCTGACTCCTTGCCCTTCCTAGGAAAAGCTGAACAGCAATTAAAAACAGCCAGTGAATGAGGAGGTACTTTCCATGGAGTCCTGTCTTCCTCAGGCTGCCTTCATCCCTGCTTTGACCACCCACAGCTACACCAGACCTTGCTGCTCTTCAGATCTGTTTGGCACATAGCTGGAAAACAAGTGCCTTGCAGAAAAAAAAACATCCCCACCACCATAGTTCTACCTCATCCAGTAGGGACTGACCTAGGGCAACAGCTTCAGAAACTCAGACTAAATATATAGTTTTAGGGCACTACCAGCAAGAGCCCATTTCCTTGATACTATCCATGTACAAAAATGGGTACCAGGTTGGTGTCTGCCTCTCTGGAAGTCATTTTCCCAACCAAGTGTAGACATTCTCTAGCAAAATCCATGTGTTTGAAGAGTGGTTAAGCCTTGTTTTCCTATTCCTGATCCATCTGGGAAGTGAAAGGGAACCATAGACCTTCAACTTGTCATTTTGTCAGTGCACCAAACCTCTTTCACTTTTACTTCTCCCACAGAGGTCAGTCAGCCTCCGTCTAGTTCTGAACTTTACAGAGCAAGAGAGAGAGCATGTGGGGACTCTGGGGATACGTGTGAAACTTAACGCGTGATTTGAGTCCTGGTCCTTTTTCTGTCTAGGATTTCTTTGAAAGTTCATGTCTGCCTGAATTAGTTGAGAATCAGAATCTAGTGTACAGGTTGTCTCCAGTGGAGTGAGAATATGGGCCTTTGTGGAGAAGTGTGTTTTCAAAGTCAGTTGGATAGAAATCCTTGTCTTCCTTTTTGAGTGTGCAGAAATATCAATAAAAGTCTTAAAGCTGGTTCTTTTCCAGTCTAACTGCAGAATGGAATAGGTTGTTACAGTATTTGTTACTTAATTCCAAATGCTGTTTCAACCAAGGAAGCAAAACCTAGTTCACTTGGGGAGAGGTGGAGAAAAGACCAAGAGTTGGGGCTCTGCCTTTTGTTTTAAACACAGATTTAATGAGGCCAATTCAGTTGTCTTAGTAAGCCTTCCAATCTTCAGCTAGGGGCTGAAGCAGTAACTGAAACTGTGGGCCCATGTTCCAGAGCCAGGCCCCAAAGTAGCCCAGCCTGACCTGTGACTATGCAAACAGTAAACAGGGCAGGATTGGTCAAAGTCAGCTAGGATTTTAAACTCCATGTGCAGTAAACAATGGCTTTGGTACTATCACAAGTAGTACTTTGGTAAATCACATGCAAACCAATAAGGTCAGAATGCAGACTCAGACCTGCTGGTGAATTAACACAAGCTATTTAGTATCAACAAAAACCAGTCAGCATTATATTGTAAACCTAACGTTTCAGCCTTGCCTCAGAGTTCTGCCACCTAACTGGCCTAAGCAAAAAAAAAGCCTTAGAAACCGACTCCTTACTCTACTTGCCCCATAGAGCAGGGCCAACTATGCTTTTCATCCCAGCAGGATGATTTTATTTCACATTTCATTTGCTTTCAATATTCATCAATTTACTCAACGGGAAGTGCCCAAGGCCAAAGTTGATTAAAAGTCATCCATACGAGAGATAAGCAACCCTGAATACATCGGCTAGGAAAGCAGCAACTAATGGAGAAAACCTCATTGCTGGACAGTCAGACCAAGGTGATGTGCAGATCAGAGACTGACAGTTGTCTGAGGACCTTAAGCTCCTATATCAAACTTCTTACCACATATCAGAACACCAGGGTGTCTCTACCTATTGCTAAAAGGCAAGGTGAAAGAAGCCAAGACTCCTTCCTTTAATAAGCCGAATGCTGGCCTAGTAGTGGTATTTGTATTTCAATCAAATTCTAGCAGAGGGGACTTCCCTGGTGGTGCAGTGGTTAGGAATCCGCCTGCCAATGCAGGGGACGTGGTTTCGAGTCCTGGTCCAGGAAGACCCCTCTTGCCACGGAGCAACTAAGCCTGTGCGCCACAACTACTGAGCCTGCGTGCCACAACTACTAAGCCTGTGCGCCTAGATCCCATGCTCCGCAACAAGAGAAGCCACCGCGGGCTTCCCTGGTGGCGCAGTGATTAAGGATGTGCCTGCCAACGCAGAAGACATGGGTTCGAGGCCTGGTCCAGGAAGATCCCACATGCCACACCTAGAGCCTGTGCTCTGCAACAAGAGAAGCCACCACAATGAGAAGCCCGCGCACCGCAACTAGAGAAAGCCCACGCGCAGCAATGCAGCCAAAAATAAAAATAAAAATAAATAAAAATAAAAAAAATAAATTCTAGCAGAGGGAAAACACTGAGCCTGGACTTAGTTCATTCCTATCAGTTCTGAGTTTTAAATGAGAACATGCTCATGATGTTCATGAGAAGGCCCAACTTGCACATCAGATTAGTATGACTTGATCAGATAAATTTGATCTCAAACAGAACTCAGCTCCATACATAGTTCAGGATTTGGAGCCATTGCAGAAATTTGGATTTCAGAGTTTCAATTCCACCAAATTATTTTGGAGTAGCGATTTGTTCTAGCATTTCCCCCCCCCCACTTTCTCTATGAGGAAAATAATTACCTTGTAATACAGATTCCCAGTGCCACAGGCCATAGACTATAAAGATGTGCTGTGTACACATGGTCAAACACTAAATAGCCAAGGGTTAAAATCAAGTTGAGCTGAGTCTGAATGAGTTCTGGAATGTAAGATTATACTGGAAAATAAGTACTTAAAAATCAACTATTAAAAATTATTTAAAATTGGTAGTCAAAACTTTCAAATGCCATTGGAAAGCAGAAACAGTTATTCCTGAGCACTGTCAGTTGACAAGAGTGTTTCTGTATTTACTGTATTAACTTGAAACTCAACTGAAGGCAGTGAAGGAACAAGGTATTTTCTTTGACTGGCTTTGCCAGTGTAGGACAGCTGATAATGATTCTGTCACCAAATTAGTAAGCTCTTGTTCTTTTGTAATGGTAGCTAAGGTAACAATCTGTATCTCAACTCCTGGGCTAGAGGTCTAATATGATGAAATTTGGTTGAAGGCATCTGACAAACATGTTTTTGTATTTCCTAAAAAAATGCTCTACGAATACTTTCTGAAAGCAGACTTAAGATTTGTTGTGCCTATGTATATTTTTTCCCCTGACATTTCTGCATGCATTTGTGGCTTCAACAGTCACTCACTTGAGAAAAATTTATCCTTAACCCTTGAATCTAGAAATGTGTGATAATTGGCTTTTAAAGATAACAAAATTGCATATCTTCACTTCAACATGCATTATCAATTTCAGTGTCTTCCATGGGGAAGAATGATATGGTTTTAAAAGAGCTCAGGAATGATATGGTTTTAAAAGAGCTCAGTAATGCCAGCAGTGACAGTGAAATAGGTTCCAAAGGTTAAGGCTAAAGCTGAATAGCACCCCGTCTTGGACAAGCACCAAGACTGAAGGCTAATTTCAGTGCATCTGATGATGGAGAATAGAACTAGATATATCTGCCCACCCCAACTCTCTTAACTAGTTACAGACTGCTCTGCTGCTGCCAACTACAAGGACACACTCAGACCTCTGCAGTCTCCCTAAACTCCTAGGAGGCTTTTTGAAAAAAGTATATCTACGCTCAGTTTATTTGGAACAAATGCTTTGCACTAGTGTGTAGAGCTGAACTGATCTCAGTGGAAATCCTATTTCCCCTTTTATAACTGACAAGAATCTAGTCCCATTTTGGCTCTAGAATTATAGGCAGAAAATGATGTTAAGAAAATGGATGACATTTTAATTCACTGATCAAACACAGGACCAATTCCTGAAAAGTCTGGAGAAGCTGACTTTAGCTACAGTCACACAAATCTATGAAACCTGAGCCAGGACCTAAACCTAACCCAAAAACCTGTATTTCCAAACGTATCATATTTTGGAAGTGCTATCAGGTCACAGAGTGCTGAATGAACTTTGAGCAGTATGAAGACAGAATGATGCGACAATCTTTATAATCTCTGTATCAATTATAAATGCTCAGTGTCAAAGAAAGATTCACACCAGACGATAGGTTTTCAAGCCTACAGTATTTAAGAAATAAAACCACTCAAGTGTGGAAGTTGTTCCCAAAGAGGCTCAATCTATAAAATAATAAAAGGCAAGGAGTGTTTCTGGCAAGACAAGACAAAAATCAAGGATTATAAATCTATAGTTTTATTAAGACAAAAACTGACAGTGTTGGTATGAAGTTTAACATTTAAAAACAAAAGTTTTCACAGAAACCTAACACATGCCTAAAAAGATTTTACAACAGAGTTCTAGATACAGGTCTAAATGATGTCAAGAACTGATGGATCTCATGATTCAAGACAGCATTTTGGGTTTTAGTTAATTCTTAGGATTAAAAAAATTTGTTTTGTTTTAAAGTGAACCACTGCCCCAGTATGAAAATTTAATCTCCTGAGACCAGGGCTTCAGAAATCATTCAACTCTTGAAGTGACTCAGTGAACTTGTGCTGTCAGTGACTGAACCCTGCCATCAATGGTTTCAAAGTTCAAAAAACAGAGGCTCCAAGAGTTTTCCACCCTAAGAGCACCGGCCCTTGTCTTTGCCTACTCTCCCATCTCCTATACCACCCTCTGCCCTTCCCCAAATACTTCAGCCAGTGGCTTGGATGGAGAAGCTGATATTTATAACTTCAAAATTGGAAAAGAAAGGGTCTTCTTGTCAATTTCAAGAATTAGCACCTCTAAGAATGATCTGCCTGTGTATACACTCCAATAAGACTTTTCCTCAACCAGTTTCCATCCCCCAAATGGCAGCTTTGGTAACTTCTTAATTGGGAAGTTAAGAAGTTACCAAAGCTTAATGCTTTTTGGGAACAGCATTAAGCTCAGGCAGGCAACACCTTGGCTTCTAAGTTTCAGGCATTCACAGCTTTTAAACAGTCTCTCACAGTCCTCATTTAGGTTGCCAATGACATTTTTTGAAAGGAAATATTCTGGACACAGAACCATATCATCATTAGTTGTTCTTTCCTTTCACCATTTCCCCCCAACAGGCCCCAAATTTTAACAAAAATGATCCTAACCCATCTCCCTTCTTCCCCACCCCATCCCTCCCACCCCAAATAACACACCAGAAATAGCCAAAAACTACATACATGCTATGCTGTAAAAATGCAGAGTTAACACTATTGGGAAGAAGGCTGTGGGTTGTGGAGATGCTCTTTGAAGATCTGCAGTATCTTTTGCTCTCCCACATCCCATTCTGCAAGTTCTGTCCTTCATAGAAGGCCCTTTGCTTTTCTCAGCAAAGTTCAGAATGGGTTGCCTTGAAACACTGACCCTCCTTCCCCTCCACTGGGGTGGGTGTGCAAACTGCATGGAGCGGAGCGGCTTTAAAGCACTTGGGCTGCTGTAGGGCACAGAAACTATACTGGCTCTTCAAAGGACATCTTCTCAAGCCCCCTCTACGGTGTCAAGACAAGTAGAACTCCTTCTTTCCCCACCTGAAACCCACAGTCAGATGTGACAGGGGCTGGTACTCAGGAGAGTTAATTCTTGTCATCTTTTTTGTCATCATCCTCCGAGGGGTAGGAATGCCACGTCAGCCTTTCCTCATAGAAGGATATGACAACCTGTGGGCACTTGACATTGGCTTCCTTGGCAGGGACCAGGTCAGCCTCATCAGAGTTTTTCCTGCAGAACAAAGCACAAAGAGACTTTGAGATCAGGTACTAGTGGTCTCCTAACTTGGATCACCCAAGGGCTTGGGCTTTTAAAATATTAATTCCAGGCTTCCCTGGTGGCGCTGTGGTTAAGAATCTGCCTGCCAATGCAGGGGACATGGGTTCGAGCCCTGGTCCAGAAGATCCCACATGCTGCGGAGCAACTAAGCCTGTGTGCCACAACTACTGAGCCCGCGAGCCACAACTACTGAGCCCGTGTGCCACAAATACCGAAGCCCACGCGCCTAGAGCCCGCGCTCTGCAACAAGAGAAGCCACCACAATGAGAAGCCCGCACACTGCAACAAAGAGTAGCCCCTGCTCACCGCAACTAGAGAAAGCCTGCACGCAGCAACGAAGACCCAACGTGGCCAAAAATAAATTTTTAAAAAAATTTATAAAAAATAAATTAATAAAATATTAATTCCAGAAGAGCAGGCCAGGGAAGGATGATAATATGGTGTAAGCATCATTTACTAGCAGCTTTTAGCCAAGTAATATCCTCGGAGATCTTCTCCCATTGAAAATGCCCTCTAGATATCTTGGTCAAAAGCTAACTCTGAACCCCTGGGAAAGGCCGCACACACACATACAAAACCATGACTCTCAGATTCTCTGAGGGAATAAGAGAGGCTACCATACTCTTCCAAAGCCATATCCCAGCTGCTAAAAGCCCATGGAGAGATCTTGGCTTGGTAATAGGATTTAATACCATGTTGGATAGTGAGATTTAATACCAATTTGGCACTGACCAGAGCCAATGCAGGTGGACACTTTCTAGCTTACTCATAATCATACTGTTTAACACTACCAAGTGCCATGCTCACACAGGCCACAACTCCCAGGTGCTTTGAAATGGTGCTTCAAAACTGGGAGATAGAAAATAAAGGGACTGTTACATAATTCTCCATATTTTTTCTGAATTTTAAAATGTTCTCAGAAATTGAAAACCACATACATATTACAAGGGACTTAGGGGTAAGCTCTATCTTCAGGTCATTGGGAACATCCTAGATGGAAGCAATAGCATAGGGCAGGCAGCAGACAGATATATATGATGGGATCTCTGACGAGACACTACCCCAAACTTCCAGAACTCCAGCAACAGGTACACCAAAGCCACACAGCCCCACGGAACCAGGGAAGAGTAAGCCAGTAAGGTATGATTTTGAACAACAGACAAGAGAATGGGAAGGAAAAGGAGTATAACAGTATGGGAACCTGAAGCAGGCTGCCCCTTGTTGACAATTCAACAACAGCCTTTGAAGTAAGAGTTCAGTCTTTCCACTGCACAGAAAAATAGCTACTTTGGGAAATGAACAAGTATCTCCATTCTCCAGGAAAATCACTTTAAAGTGAACTTGGTTTAATAATCAACATCCAATCTTATCTTAACTTGCAGAGTTACATTCAGCTATAATCTTTACACACTAGTGAGTGAACCAAAGGAATGTAGTGTCAAGCAATAAGGAGGTGCTACCATTACTCAGACTGGTCACATGCAGCCAGAGAAAGTGTATTCTAGTTGGATTGAATAAGTCCTGGTATTAATTCCTTTCTCCCATATGCAGCACCTTAAAAATGAACTTTTCTCCTACAGGCTAGCAATAAATAAGCTAAAAGAAGGTCAGAGTCAGTAAACACCTAGGGAATGCATGGGAAAAAAGAGGTTTAGCCAGTTGTGCCATAGGCTTTCAGTGTTCAAGTTAGGCCTCTCCTGCCACCTTCTAAAGGAGAGGAATTAGTACAGATATGAGTTTCCGAGAAGGTTCTAGACTGACAAAAGGACAAAGCCCCTAGAATGCTGCCTTCTTTGGCACAGGCTTAGGATTATTCACTCCTAATTTATATTTTAAAGACAATGATGGAGCTCCACTTTGGGGGTGAGGAGAACAAGCACTTCCAACAAGCAAGAAAAAGGGAAGAAAGCTTTCGTTTTGGACAGAGAATAGATAAATTATAGAGAATTTTGGGTTAATTACAGTTCTTAAGATTCTCAAGACGACTGCTTTCATTAAGCTGTTTCATGGAGTACTACCACCACTGGTATTTATACTTATAATGGAAAAAAGCAGGCTTCTCGCTATGCTTAGTATAGTAAAGGGGCCTTGCTGACCCCTGCTGGCAGATACTGCAACTGTAGAATCTGCACAAACTGGAATGGATCTAACAGTCAAGGACAAAGGAAGAGCTACAGAAATTCTTTCCTAACCCTGAGAAGTTAACAGAATTTCTGATCCTGGGGCCAGCCCAATCTTTATTAAGGAGGTGGTGGAAGGGGAGGGTGGTTCAATCACATTTCTTTTTTTCCCCCTTTATTTACATGAGTGAAATGTGATTCCTCCCCATACCTTCTGTACTCCAGATTGTCTCCCACCTCCTAAAAAAAAATGGGCAAAGATCCGAGAATCCTAAGGGCCCCTACCTGTAACTCACGAGTCCAGGTTGGCAGGCGGAGGGTCACTATCGAAGGACTATGCCATCTTAAAGATTTCACAACTGGGCGACTGGAATTTTGAAGGTCCAGCTCTTTTCCTCTGGCATGGAACAGATGTGGAGAAGAAAAAAACAACCACACAGAGCCACTGGCAGACTCACCATTTCATCAGGAACATGAGTTCTCCACTGGAGTCTGTAGCTCCAATAATCCGCTCCGGTTCCAAACCCCGGGCAAAGCCTCGTGGCTTTTCTGACTGTAAAAACCACAGAGATGGAACAATTTTAACTATATGGGACTGTTATCCGGACTGGAGCAACTCCTGTTTCTCTGACAATGTTATCAAACCCTTTTGCCTATATTTCACCAAATCTTTGGCTCTAAGTCACAAGCCTTTTAGAATCCTTCTGAGTGATTATTCCATCGAGTTTTGAAGTGCTTGAGGTTTCCCCACATGTAAAAAGGGACCCACATCTAAGCAAAATAAATGTTCACAACTGTTCTTCACCCTCAAAAGGTACCTTACTTTACGGTATTGAATAGATTAAAACCTGTAATGATTAAAACATTGACAGCCATCTCCTCACAGGAATGAATTCCCTTGCACTTACTGTTCTTGAACCTCACATAAGATAGGAGTACATTATGTGGCTTCATGAGATTGAACCCTCAAACATTTGTTTTTTTTTTTTTTTTTTTTTTGCTGTATGTGGGCCTGTCCCTGTTGTGGCCTCTCCCGTTGCGGAGCACAGGCTCCGGACGCGCAGGCTCAGCGGCCATGGCTCACGGGCCCAGCCACTCCGCGGCATGTGGGATCTTCCCGGACCGGGGCACGAACCCGCGTCCCCTGCATCGGCAGGCGGACTCCCAACCACTGCGCCACCAGGGAAGCCTCTCTCAAACATTTTTAAAGCATTAGCCTATCTAACATTCCAAAAGGATTGAGAGCCAGCTGCTGAGATCTAAGGAGCAGCAGAACAAAAGTGCTTAAATTATCTTTCAGCTTCTTTGACAGCAGCATGAATTCTAGGCTAGTAAAAATTCTTACTTCGAGCCTTACCTCTTCTTTCTTCTTCTTTGGTTTGCTCTCCTCCCCCTTATCTTCCGAATCAGAATCAGCTTTGCGCTTGCCTCCCTCTGATTTATCTGTCTCGTGTGCTGTTTTCTGTGACTGCAGGAACTCAGCAATGAGGTCGGGGCAATCCAGGTTTTCTTCTGGCTCCCATGTGTTGTCCTCACTGAAACCAGAGGCACACGAGTCACACTTTCCACTCAAAGTTAGCACACTCACACTAAGGAGAAGCACATGACAAAAGCCGGTGTCCTTGGAACAGAGGAGTTAATGATAAAATATAACTGGATTCTGTCCAAGACCAAGAGCTTGACAAAGTTGACATTTTTTGGGAGGTGGTAGGGGGCTTTTTAGTACAAATTGAAAGCTTAGAAACTTGCCTCCTTCAAAAGAAAGTTACTCTCTCTTTGCAAACTTGGATCAGTGTAAAGCCACACACAAAACTGCTCATCAGAAATCAGTCTTGCAATGATAGCACTTTGTACATGTAGGTCATTTTCCTAATTAAACTATAAGCCATGAAGGCCAGGCCTGAGTCACAAGGTACCCATCAGTGCACCCTGGGTCATGCACATTACCAGTCTCCTGAGAAATAGTTGGTGACCAAATGAATGGATTTTCCTGGGTCAATGAAACTCACTCTGAGAACCCCTTCCACTTTAGGAGGTACTCCACTTTGCCCTTTACCACTCGACGGTCAAGAACTTTTTCCACCACATATTCTTCTTCTTCTTCTTCTAGCACCTCCTCCACTTTCTTCTTGTTTTGTTTTTTCCCCATAGTGCCCGCCAGCTTTCTGGTATAAAGGGTGACGCCGCTAAAATGATAAAGGAAATAAAAAGGACATTAGGGTACACTCTTCTTAGGAGAATATTTGGATAAGAAAACCAGGAACATCATAGATGATTTTAATAGTGCACACTTGGGACTTCCCTGGTGGTCCAGTGGTAAAGAATCCGCCTTCCAATGCAGGGGACATGGGTTCAATCCCTGGTCAGGGGACTAAGATCCCAAATGCCATGGCGCCACCAAGCCCATGTGCCACAACTACAGAGCTCGTGTGCCTCAATTAGAGAGCCTGCGTGCCACAAACTGAGCCCACACGCCCTGGAGGCTGAGTGCCACAACTAGAGACAAAACCCGCACGCCAGAACTAGAGAGAAGCCTGTGTGCTGCAACAAAGAGCCCGCATGCCTCAACGAAGATCCCACATGCTGCAACTAAGACCCAATGCAGCCAAAAATAATAAAATAAATAAGTAATAAATAAATCTTAAAAAAAATAGTGCATTCTGCTTCAATAAATGTTATGCCTATTCATCTTCAATACCCAAGAGTTTTCTATGTTCAGCTAGAAAGTTAGTTTTCTAAAACAGCCCCAACTAATCTCACAGCAAAACTTCTTTATTCTTGCATATCCACTTAAAACTTTTATACCCATTCCTCCCAAGTTAAAAAAGCTCCCAATACCCCTTTACTTATGGTATCTAAAATATTAATTTGAAAAAGCAATCCTCCTAAAAATAAGGTCTATACATCAAACCTATATACATATAATCCTCTGATCCATACTTTCTCCTAATTCTCTGAATGTTTTTCAATTTCATCACAGTATTGGACTTGGATTTTTACTAAGGGAAATGGCTTGTCCTATTTATTAAACATCTAGTTTAATTTTCCTTTCTGTATATGCATATATAAGCAATTCTTCTGCATTGTTAAACACAATCTCTTTTGAGTCCCCTTAAGGTTCTTTATGTAGTCTTTTCTGAATGCCACCATTAATTTATAATTCTCAAGTTTCTTGTGGACTTTTTATTCTACTTTTTATTTCTAAGGCTGAGAAGGATTCATAAAAATGCCAGAATGGGGTTTCCCTGGTGGCACAGTGGTTGAGAGTCCGCCTGCCGATGCAGGGGATACGGGTTCGTGCCCCGGTCAGGGAGGATCCCACATGCCACGGAGTGGCTGGGCCCGTGAGCCATGGCCGCTGAGCCTGTGCGTCCGGAGCCTGTGCTCCGCAACAGGAGAGGCCACAACAGTGAGAGGCCCGCGTAATGCAAAAAAACAAAAAACAAACAACAACAACAACAACAAAAATGCCAGAATGACCATGGGATTCTCTAAACGAATTTGGAAATAAGTGGGGGAAAAAAGGTGGGTATCACAGATAACAGAACCTGAATTTATTCTTTTGCAAAATATATCATCAGGCTGGGTAACCTCTAAGGGTTTTTCCAGTGCTAAAATTCCAGTCCCCTATAAATCTATTTTCTTCAGTCCTTCATCCAACTCTTGACTGTTGGTAAGCATAAAGCCTTATGATTACAAATGTGTCAGCAGGTGGCGCCATAAGATATCTATACAACAAAATTGATCTACAAAACTGGCTGCAATCTACAAATTGATAGATACATCAGCTGCCCAGAAGGAAATACAAACAATCAAGAGTATGGCAGATTATCCAAGACAAGAAAGTAGTTACTACCATGTTTCATGTTTGAATTTAAGGCAATGCTAATTGGGGTTTAAACTGGTTATTCCTAGCATCCTTGGGAAAAGGAGTCAGTGAAAGTAGGTTGTTCTAAATAGTTTTAAACTGGCACGTGTAGATAGAACGTATTTTAGAAATTCATCTATAGACTATATGAAACATAACAAACCTTTACTAAAAGTCGGGCTCATCAATATGAATCAGTTATAGTATCTACAGATGCTTATTTAGGTTTATACTCTGAGATATTCTCATGTCTGCATATACGAGCAATGCTGACTTACTGAAACAACAAACATTTGTTTGGCTACTAGAAAATTCTGCATTGCTGGAGACTGGAGATTCAAGAGAGTAAGTAATGGTCCCTGTCTTCCTGAAACCTAATGTCTGGTAAGAAAAAAATATAGATACCTCTTCCACTAAAGGTATTCTGAACTTTTGCTGAGTGGCACCCACACACACACAAAGTTTTCTGAGATGCTTTCAGTGTGGCCTAAGGCGACACCCAATGCCCCTGTCCACACAGTTCAAAACACACATCTGCGCTGAGACTGGTCCTCTCCATTTACATACCAAAGATTCTGCTTTCCTTCCCTCCCCAACCCATCTTTTAGTGCCATGAGTTTTCCTTTTATTGTTACTGAACAGACTAATCAGTGTATTGAATGTCACCTTTTGCTAATTATTGGCTAGCTTCATTGTGCCTCTGATTCAGAGCCTGTTGCTTCTTCCTGGAGGGAGATACTTTCAGGTTTTCAGAATTCTGATTGCCATGACAAGTGTTATAAGGAAAGGAAAAAAAGACTAATTTTTCTTTTGGATAAATGCAGTAGTGTTTGCTCTGAAGAACAAGTGCTACTCCTTGTTTGCTTCCTTTCACTGTCAAGTTGAAGGGGTGGCAAGATTCATGCATCAGTTAATGTGCAAAGAAAAATAAATTGACAATCACCTTTCAATAACAAAGGGTACCACAACTCCCTACATTAGTTTGGACTCAGAAATTGGAAGCTACTCCCTTTCTTAACAGACAGAAAAACAACGGGTTACAGACAACCCCATACCAGTAACTGTCCCCTAATAACCCCTCTCCCAAGTAATTAAAAAGTAAAGGAAAGTCAGTCTTATCACTCTGGCTTCAGAATTCAGAGATATTGAAGGCTCTGTGTTATCTACATTAATAGCTACATTTGTCTTACAAAAAGAAATAACACTGAATCCTGCCCATCTGATCCTGTTACTACAAAACAAAAAGGTAGGGACAGCTCCTAGCTCATCTCTAGCTACTGCAGGCCTCCCCTCCCTTTATCATTAGCGTGGCCTCAAGGAGAAAGAGTCATAGCATAAGAATATAATCCTTTAGGTTAGGTAAAGAAAACCCCCAAATAGGGAAATCTAGAGTGAGACCGCTTGATTTTCATCTTTACTCACTTAATTTCATTGTCTTAAGAGCAACTCAAATGAGAAGTGAAGAATGTAGAAAACACACTAACATTTCTCTCTTTTGAGTTTTCTTAACTGGCTCATCCCAGCATTTATCTCCAGGGATTGGATTCTCTTTATATTGGAGACTCTCAGCCAGGCTTCCCAGTGTGAGTTTTTTCCTTATTTATAGGTACTTCTCTGGGGTCCTGAATAAACCATTTGTCAAAATCAGTAGAGAAGTGGATTAAATACCCAACCCACTCTTCCTATAGAATCTATTGATAGCACCTTCAGACAAGCCAAGAGCTCCCTTAAATATTATGACAGGCCAATTATTTGCATATAGTTTCCAAATTGATTATTTCAAGAAAGACCACCTCTCCCTGAATATGGCAATCTCCAAATACCAGCAGTGACATCTGGAAGGAGGGCTTTCAACTGGAATTGCTTGGCAAGGATATTCAAAGTAACTCAGATCAGCGTAGTAGCACAATGGAAAAATGCCTTTAGTCAATGCTATTTGCCACTCTCCCTAAATATCCTGGCAACCAAATTATGGCATAAAAAGTGCCATAATCATTGAACAAAGGGTCAAGGTATATACTAGAACATCACAAGACGTACACAAGGGCGAACAGTTCTAAATTAACTCAGAAATCTTAGGGACTTCCCCGGTGGTCCAGTGGTTAAGACTCCGCGCTCCCTATGCAGGGGGCCTGGGTTTGATACCTGTTCGGGGAACTAAGATCCCACATACCGCAATGCATCCCGTGCGCCGCAACTACTGAGCCCACGCGCCACAACTAGAGAAGCCCTTGCACCACAACGAAGACCCAGCGCAGCCTAAATAAATAAATAAAAAGATTAGAAAAGAATCCTTGGACAAGTCTTCTTAAGGGGGCTTCCCTGGTGGCGCAGTGGTTAAGAATCTGCCTGCCAATGCAAGGGATATGGGTTCGAGCCCTGGTCCAGGAAGATCCCACATGCCACGGAGCAGCTAAGCCTGTGCACCACAACTACTGAAGCCTGCATGCCTAGAGCCCGTGCTCTGCAACAAGAGAAGCCACTGCAATGAGAAGGCTGCGCACCGCAACAAAGAGTAGCCCCACTCACTGCAGCTAGAGGAAGCCTGCACAGAGCAACGAAGACCCAACGTAGCCAAAAAAAAAAAAAGTCTTAAGGCTCATCACGATGTTTCAGACAAAAAAACCTTAACCTAGTTAAGCTGCTACAATTTTACCTAAATATTTACCGGGTCTGCCACATTTTAAGATGCCTAGGAAAATAATACGTTACATTTGTATTGCACTTTACAGTTTACAAAGTGCTACCATGTTATCTCATTTGATCTTTGAAACAATCCTATAAAATAAACCATTCAGATGTTATTGACACCTCAGAGATAACACAATAAATTTACATGAAATAAATCTTCTAAGGTCACACAATTAACAAAAAGTACAGCACTTCAGTGTGGACATCTCCCAGCAGGACTGGGCTAATGACCCTGTTGCACACACAGAACTAGGAGCTAGCTACACACTTACAGGGGAAATTTCCCTCCAGCCTGTACGAGGAAAGGACGGAAAGGTCTGACTTCAGTCCTCTCTACAATTTGTCATCAGTAAATAAGGAAGTGCGGATAATGATTTTCTTTCAAAAAAGACCTTGGAATATGTATAGGTGTTTAAAAACCAATGATTTTTTTATTGGTTACTGGAATATGGAAGGTATACATTGTTAATTAAATCAGCAGGCAGTGGCAAAGCTTTGGTTTTTAGGGCCCCAGCAGTCTTCTCAGTCTTTTAAATTGACAAGTGCTAGATGGTGCAGAAGTTTTGAATTTTTGTAGCCTAGCAATTAGGCTACAGAGAACTACTGAGAAAATGCCAATTTTAAGAA